TCTGCTCCTGCTGCTGCCGATGCTGCTGCTACGGCTACTGCTTCTGCTCCTGCTGCTGCTGCCGCCGCCGCCGCTACTGTGGCTACTGCTCCTCCTGCTGCCGCCGCCACCGCCGCTCTAGAAATGAAAACTGCGTGATTGCTGCTAATGAAATTTAACAGCGCGAACTGAACTCAACGACATTGAAGGCAACCTCATCGATGCGATGCCATTAACATTACTACTGTGCACTCGCCACTTAGAAGCAAATGCCATGCAGTTAGCTTCCAGTCATGAGGCATCACTGCCTTTCCATAGCATGTATAAGTAGGTTGGCTTCATGGTACTAAAGTTCTAGAAAATTCAGATAAAAGCCCTAACTCTCACTCGCATTGCCTAAATCCACAGTTCATGCAAGGAACTGAAGTGTATGCAGGCACGCGCGCAAACACACGCACATACGCACACACACACTCTCACACACACACACACACACACAAGCACACACACACACACACACACACACACACACACACACACACACACACACNTCAGATTAAACGCAGTCAACACCTTCTGGGCCTCGCCTGAAATCGCAGCACGTCAGATTAAACGCAGTCAACACCTTCTGGGCCTCGCCTGAATCACAGCACGTCAGATTAAACGCAGTCCGCACCTTCTGGGCCTCGCCTGAAATCGCAGCACGTCAGATTAAACGCAGTCAACACCTTCTGGGCCTCGCCTGAAATCGCAGTGTGCGTCTACGGGCGCATTTGTTTGGTCGGATCCACCGATCTCGATCCGATGGATTCGTTGATCTGACTATTTGTTTGGTCGGATCACTTGATCTCGATCCACCGAACGCGACCCTGCTAGCGAGGCGGATTCGAACGGGATCCAATATGGCGGCCTGGGCCTCAGCCAATCACAGCTTGTTCTTTGTTATGAACCATCCCGTGATAGGTCACAGCGAAAAGTGAACCGGTGAAAGTGAGTTTGCGTTTGTTTGGTTGGATCAAGATCACATGATCTCGATCAGACGGATTCGTCCCAAACAAACGCGCCCTACTATATATCTAATGTTGTTATTTTACGCCCGCTGCAGACTGAAAATTTGACCCTACATCAAACTAGTCAGGGCCAGGTGCGCGCTATATTTTTGCGCCCTAATACATATCTAATGTTGTTATTTTACGCCCGCTGCAGACTGCAAATTTGACCCTACATCAAACTAGTCAGGGCCAGGTGCGCGCTAAATTTTTGCGGTGTGTGCACGCTATCCCGGCATAAATACGCGCTTATCCCGGATGAGTTAGCCCCGCAAATAAAGATGGGCAATTCCCGCTTCCAAGTTAGCCTGTACCAAGTTAGATGTGCTCTAAACTGTGCGTGTATGCAATCCGGAGCCGGGCGCGGGCTAAATTTCGATATACGCATGTGCATAGCCTTGTTTGGGTCTGTACAGTACAGTAACTGTCTGCTTAGTGACGTAACAAGCTAAACTGAGCGTGCACTGTCAACCCATGCTAACTTAGCTATAGGTATATACAAACTCGTTGCAGTAAAAAACATACACGGGGGCTCGGGGCGATTTAGCCCCCGAAATGCCAAAAAGAGCCCTCGTAAATTTGCATAGAGTTCAATGCAAACCAAATTTTAGAGTGCTATTTTCATGCACGCGAGCTTGAAAAGTAGCCCCCGAAAAATAAATTTTTTCCCCGACTCGTTGAATATCTAGAATCGAGAATCGAGGACACGCCACGCGACTCGCCGTTGACCCCCACACGTCGCATACCTAACGACATCATCATCATCAGCAGCAGGTCAGCGACTAAAAGCCAATGCCGCGGGAAACCCCGAGCGTTCATCATGGAGCTTGATGTCCGTGCCTCCACCTGGTGTCCCGTGCGACGCGGAGCCCGGCGTTTAACAAGTGAACGGCGCTAATCCGATGATCCTGCAAAATGGCGTCGAATGCAGAATAAGTTGCGAGGAGTTAGCAACGCTAAAGGGGTCGTTGTAGTATAGGGTACTACATATATGTACCCGAGGTAACTATCTGTCAGACTGATATGGTTAGGGTTAGGGTTAGGGTTAGGGTCAGGGTTAGGGAGTAGGCGACTCCCAAGACTAGCATTATATTACACCCTATACGACAACGACCCCTTCAGCATTAGCAACTGTGTTATTTTATGATTATTTATGATTATTCATTCATGATTATGTTTAATTAGCCGTTACCGTTATTCATGGCTGTATTTTTACTGCTATCGTTCGAATCGGAAACATAGTTACATGATTTAGACTTACAGAGGCCCAGCCCAACACCGTCAACGTTCAACAAGCTGTATGCATTGCCAAATAGGGTAGGGAGTCGAAGAGGAACAAAATTGTGGGGTAAAGTATGTGTGAACCTACAATTTTTACACTATATCTCTAAGTTGATTTGCCTTGAATTGCTACAGTACAAGCACAATAAAACCAGTGCTCACAGCTTTTATTAGTGCGTGAAGATGCGCCTATATATATCTTCCCTGAACACAGACAGCACAGCAACCCATGATAAGTTACATCAGTTGTACTGCACGGCAACTTGAACCTTGGCTTGAAGATATTGCATAACAAGTGCCGCGGAGCGACAGCGCTCATCTAACGTCTACTGCGGTGACTCTGTGGTGGAGTGGTGAGATTCTAGTAAATCCTGTTAGTCCCAAATGTGTTCACATACACGCCGAAACAGTGGAATGCACAGGGATGGTATCAGGAACCTTCTTAAAGGAATGTTCGTTGGGATCGTTATGAAAGTTGCCATGAGATGGCGCGTACGTTTAAGTGTCTTCTGATTAAAGATGGAAGCTCCCATCGTACGTAGTAGCAACAACTCTTTGCAAGACAGAATAGGTAAGCACTCATCCATTTACCTACGCAAGCCCACAGGCTGAAATAGAGAGCTGCCACCTGTAACTAATTAACGCAGGCAAAAACCACACAGTACCACCACCACATGCACTGGCAGTGGCCACTGGCAGTGGCATACGTTACATGTAACAGACACACTGACAGTACAGAATGCCATAGAAATTATACGATTTAAGGCGCATAAACCTTCTTCAACCAAATTTAGCTTTTGAAATTTCAGTGTGACATTGTAGCCTCATACATCCAGGCATGTATAGATTCTACTAGTAAACCCAGCAGTCAAATTCTTTCTAACAGTAAACAAATCCATGTTTAACCTGCCTCTTTGAGGTCAAAAGGTTATCCGATACTATACTCCTTACGCATGTCAGCAGAAGTACCTTTCATGTCCTATTCAATAAAAGCCATAAAAATGCTAGGTCACGGCGCTGAAACAAAAAAGTTTTTCGCAATCGCTGCCCGCCGTCAGACCAAATGTTCCTCGAATTTATAAATGTCTAAAGTCTTGCCCTGCGTCCACATTGACCTTTCACGAGCTGTTGAACCCTCCAATTTCGGCACAGTGATGGCTTTTGCCTAACCTTGAATGCTATACACCGACTATCACGAGCCTTAGGTCGAGCCGTTTAGATTTGTGCCGCAATTCTGCATGTTCCTCCCTATACCTTAAGTTAAGGAGGGAATGTTCCCCCTTATCATTTACACCTCTTGACCTTTGAGCCTTTGAACCCCCAGCTTCGACATCCCAGCTCGTTTTGAACGATCCCCCCGCGACGTCCCGAATATCGTACGCCGTACGTCAACGTTAGACTTCGTGCCCAACCTGTTGACCAGCACGGACGGACGGAACGCGACGAACGCATGGCCGGGACAGACGGAACGCGACGCTCATGGGGGGCGATTCTACAAGCATGCATCTGAACTATGTCAGAATGAGCTAAAAATGCCTATGGAATACAGCTCTTATAATCCTTGAACCGGAAAAGTGTACTTGCCCCTGTACATTTTTTGTACAGTACACCATCTATTTCAGTACTTATCCAAATTCCTGAAAAAACGCGAAAAGGTCCGAAAAGAACCGAAAGTATTTTCGTGGGACGTTTGCACACAATTTGAAGGCTCGCGTTTTTCCGTCTTCGATATATAGCCCCTTTGACTAATATTTAGGGGTTACCGATGGACTCGTACGACGATGTAGGAAAGATACCAATAATTAACTGAACATAGAGTAGGTACACGAGGGGGGTTACCTACTCTGTTGGATTCCATTATCTGACTATTGGAACGTATTGAGTAGGTTATTGTATGCTAAGTGATACGCTGCATAGGAGTCGTATGTCCTACCAGGGTACTACCAGAACGTACCTGGGTAATTGGTCAGGTATATCCGAACGTACCCTGGTAACTATTTGATATGGTTAGGGTTAGGGTTAGGTTAGGGAGAGCGTACGCGACTCCCAATAGACTCGTTACGTAGGAGAGGCGAGGTAGCCGGTCCGGCATATTAGTTTTGTAGCGCAGGGTACGTTACGGGCAGTACCGCTGGAGGACATAGACCACAGGCACTTGAAGCGTTTCAATAAAATACTAATGCTGATTAACTCTGAAATCGATTTACTATCGGGCAAATTCTTAATGTTTGGACTATGAACTCTCTTTCACGGGGCTATAATATTTGACAGCGAAGTTCCTGTAATTCGCGTTCCAAATCGCTACGTCCAACCATATACAGCTTGGCGACAGCCATTGCTTTCTGCGGGCGCGACTGTTGCACGCTTACACTTATAGATATAGCAGAAAGAAAGCGGGATGCGCAAAATTCGCTGATGGCTCGGCTGATTTGCAACATTTTCACAGGACGAATTCAAACATCCAAACACTTCCCGGATCTTTGTTTGATGTCCAAGAACAGTGTTCACATGATTGTTATAAAAACAATGTCCTTTGTTCGTACGCGAGCTGTGTCAGCCGAAATCACACAGACTGGCAAGAATTCTAGCGGTGTCGCGAACCTTGCCGCTAAGTAATGTAAATGGGCCTGCAAGTACAGGCTATATAAGACTGGGACTCGCTCACCACGCGTTATAGGGGAGGGAAGCGATAGGAATTAAGGGTTAGACTGGAGAAGCTGCAGGTGGAGTAAGACGACCGGAAGATTTTGAGAGGGGCAGGGAGAGTGAGGGACGTGGGGGCCAATCGATTAACCATTCATAGCAATCGAGTGACTAAGCAAGCCAAGAGGTGGGAGCGAGTGCGCAGTCTATGGGCTATAGGACGGCGGCAGGGCGGCGCACTGGCTTTCAACTCCCGCGAACGAGCCTGCGCCATTGCAACGTTGCAAAAAGAACGTTGCAGCGTTGGCGGCGCAAAGAATGAAGGTCACGAAGGAGCGCCGGTGCGCTGTTTCCTGATTCTGACAGACTGTTACGATTACAGGGCAAAGGTCCGCGAAACGCGAGAATTTCGTGCAGTGTTGGTGTGAATTTCGCGGTGACATCAGTCGCTTACGGAATCAAAGACATTGTTTTTTATAACAGGTTAACACGTTCTTGACATACAATACAAAAGATGGAAGCGTGGATGTGTATCGTGCTGTGAAAAGTGTGAAACAGCGAGCATTTCAGAGCGAGATTTGCGATCCGCAGCTATTCCTACGCCTGCTTATATATATAAGTGTAAGCGTGCGCAAACCAGTCGCGCGCGCGCAAGCAATGGTCGCCCTGCAGCGTATAAAATAGGTAAAGCCCGCCGCACACGTGAGTTAATTTTATCTCAAGTAAAATGTACGACGAGTCATTTTACTTTCACGGTTGCGGCAAGATCTTTTTGTTGAAGTAAATTTGATCTCATTTTTTGACCGTAGTGGTTTCTCTCTGCTCATCTTTCTTACTCCTTCCGAGATTAAATATTAATAAATTCAATATAACAGTATAGTTGCGTCAACGCTTAATATAGATCAGTAAGGGAATTTGACTGAATTGTTTATCAGGTCCAAGACTGTCAGCAATTAATATGTGAAACATATATATACTATTAATATATATATATATATATAATATAGAGAGGAGCGAGAGAGAGAGTATAGAAACATTCAAAAATTTGGTAGTAAATTAGATTTCGTATTTAGTTAGGCATTATCATTTTATTGAAAACGCTTCAAGGTGCCTGTGAAACATAGATTAGACCTTTGGGCCTATCACTATCACTCCAGTATCAAGCCTAAGTCATGTAGGGACCAGATAAGCTAATAAGTACTATATGACCGCGATCGCTGCCGGCAGGGCTATAGCACATTCTGGCCATATATGGTAATCTAAGCGAATGGTCCAACTGATGTGGACCAAGAAATTTATCCCCAAAACGTAAAAATGATCGGGTCTTTATTAAACACTTATCTATTAACATGGAACATCTCACCTATCTTTTGAACATCTTCCACAACTTTTAGCACCCAGTATTTATGCCTGTTATTGCCCAAAGTCCTTAGCACTGAAGAGTCACGCGTGACACATAAGCAGAGCAACCCATTTTTGAAAACAAAACACTCAGTACTGGCTAAGACTTTGCGAGGAATAACAGCATAAATACCTGTGTAAAAGTTGTGAAGGCTTCAGAAAAGATAGTGAGATGTCCATAGTTGATAAGATCGTGTTAAAAAGCCCGATCATTTTACGTTTTGGGATAAATTTTTGGTCCATCAGTTGGACCATTTGCTTAGATTACCATCTATGGCAGAATGTGCTATAGGCCGCTGCGGCAGCGATCCGCCGGCTATAAATAGTACTAGAGGCTAAGGACTAGGACCAGTAGGATAAACGTAAAGTGACGGTTGCCCAGCTAAAGGGACAGCGCGTCTCGCCATGGTACCTGAAATTCTCCGTCCTAGAGGGCGTGCCACTAGGGACAGCCGCGTCTCCCAAGTCCGAAATAGTAGGTTTTTAGATCCGTCTAGATGGCGGCCATTATTAATTAACAATTAATAAAATGCAGTTTAATGTTTATTTTTTTTTTTACTTTTTGTATTTATATTTTTTTTTT